AATTAATTATCATTGATTTTTAGTTGATTATGAAATTTTGAATCTTCTACTCTGTACTTGTATAATTATTAGATATTGTGAAAGATCTGAAAGATCAAAAATTTTTAGCCAAAAAGTGTGACCATGAGCCAATAAAAATTTATCGATCATTCTAGAATTGATCTAGAATGCAATCTGTTACATGAAATATGATTTTCTAAATTTGGAAATATCCCTGACTGTATTGCGTTTATCTTTTCTCTGCTTATTCATTCCATAGCTTGGGAAATAAGATGAGCGTCAAACTTACCTAAATTATAGAAACGAATTGGTAATTTAAACTCCTCTGGTTTGACTCGAAGTTGAAGATTACAAATACTATGGGCTGGACCTCTATAGTTACCTGTAATATGGTCATGGTCTTAAACTTTTTTAAGATTATCTTCTTTTCCAAATGGCTTTTCACATATCCAACATTCTTTAGCCGAATTATACATTTTTTCTTCTTGAGTAGTTAATTTTTTCATTGGTTCTCCAGACCATCGGAGCCTACAATAAATTGTATTTGCTAAATGGTATATTATTCCTATATCTACTCCAAGAGGATCTCTTTTATGAGCTTGGTAAAGACCTTTTAAGTAATATTTAAGAAGAATTAATTTTTCATATTCTTTACTGAAATTGAGATTAATTTTACCTAATTCCCATGATTGAAATATATTAATACTGGAAATATTATCTTCTGCTATCTCTTCTGATATTATTCCTGATTGCAGCATTTTGATTAATTTCTTCGCAGAATTTTGTATTATATGACCTCCTCCGAGAAAGTTTTGACATTGTTCTACTTCTTTTTCTATTGCTTTAATAAATTCTCTAGCAGGATCATCATCTCTAATTTTTACTGTTGCTTTGGTTTTGCTATTACTATACCTAATCATATAATCAAATGATATAACTTTATGTTCTTGGATTGCTTTCGTTCTCGATCCTTGATTTTTTTCTATCAGAGTGGAGAGAGTTTCAGCATCTGCTATGCAAATAAAAGGCGCATCTAACATTCGTTCATATCGTCTAAATTTATATATATTCTTGCCTACCAATAGCATTACTGTTCTTTGGACTGGAATATTAATTCCTTCACAATCTTTCATATGCTGAGCATCAATCTTGGGGTTGTGGGTTCGGTGGCTTACACAATAATCACAAACATATAACCTGCCATTGTGTTTAGTCATATATCTTGCTAATTTTTCTAATTCTTCTCTTCCTTGAATCAAACAATAATATTGAGATGGTTCTCCTGTTTTGGATCTTCTTCAGTAATTAATAAAAGCCTAATCAATTTATGTGGTTAACAATTTTCTTCTTTATGGTTACATCTATTAAGTACTTTGGATTTAGATGCAATTCTAATTGGAATAAATTCCTTTTCACTCCATCCATAAATTGATACTAATATAGAGAGATTCTGTTTCTCAAATTTCTCTATTGTATTATTGTCAGCTTTTACTAAAAATTGAATCCCTTTGAAATTTAACTTTCCTAAATGAGGATTTTGATTTTGAGGTTGCTCTCGATGATAAGAAGCTAGATATAAATCTTCTAAAATACATCGTTCAAAGCATTGATTATCTTCATTCTTAATATTAATAATTTTATTATTTTGTTTTGGTATTCCTTTAGGTAATGAAAGATGAGAAGTAGCAGTTAATAGAACGAAAATTGGTATTTCAATATTTACTTCTTCCGATACTTCATAAACCTAGCCTGAGCCTTCAACAATATAAGTTTCTATTCGATTTTCAATATTCCAAATAAGTTCGTCTACAATTCTTGGAATATCTTCTTTAGCAGTTACTACCACTGCTTTATTTTTGAAAGGAACTTCTTTATAATCTATTTCTCCGTTATCTTCTTCTATTTTATTATCAAATAACCCCTGTTGATAATTTGCTGATCGACTCATTTTTCCTCTGAGGCATAATCGTGTTTTGAACCTATGCGTGAAGTCAAATCGATTATTAAAAATATTTATTATTTGTTCCCTAAGTACCCCAAGAGTATTAATAAGGTCTTGTACATATACGCTTTCTTTTCCTATCTCAACTTTATAATAATCATCTAATAATTCACATCCTAAACTAATAATATCAGTTTGATGAAATTGCAGAATAGGTTCTAATATTCCTAATACTTCGAGATATTCTCTTTCAGCTTCTGGTAATAAAATAGTCTTAGCAATTTCTGGAGGATCAAATAATCTCAATGCATCAAGAAATTCTATTTCTGAATTAGCTGGAGGAGTTGGATTCTAAGTTGGTAAATCTCGGTGGTAACATAGATTTTTATTACTATTATAATGTTAACGAAGTTTTTGTGGTGTTAAATATATATACCCACAGCTTTCACATATACTATTTTGTTTACGAGTCATATTAGTTTTATTATTTACTTATAGAAAATTGTTTAAATTGTATTTTTACCTTATATAAAAATGAGTACTATATATACTTGCTCTTTTGTTGATTATTCTGGAGAAATTTGTATGTATCATAGTACTCGCCCTGAGGGTTGCTGTTTTTATTATAAAGCTTTATCTCATAATCCTTGCTCTGAATGTGATAAACCTACTCGTTCTATTTCTGGTCGTTGTTCTAAACATATTAGGGGGTTTTATGTTTCTAGATATTTTCAGAAACATCTTAAGAAAAATCATATAAAAATTGGTTAGAGTTAGTTGAAAGTTAATAAGAAATTAAATGTGTGATAGAATAGCAATTTGGGGGTAAAGTGTTGGTCTAACTTTTTGGTTAGAGTTTTGTCCCAACTTTTTGGTTAAAGTTTGTTCCAACTTTTTGGTTAGAGTTTGTCTCAACTTTTTGGTTAGAGTTTGTCCCAACTTTTTGGTTAGAGTTTTGTTTAACTTTTTTACAATTTTTGCCAAAAAGCAGAATGCTAAGTGTGACGACAAACTCGTAAACCTATCATCACTCGAATAATGATCGAAAAGCAGAATGCTAAGTGTGATGATGAACTCATAAACCAATCATCACTTGAATGCCAACGGTTAGATGTTCTGTTACTATAAAAGAAAGGCTTTGAGTAATGATCAAAAAGCAGAATGCTATATATATTTCAATTCGTAAACCAACTATTACTTAAATGACAATGCATATATGTATCCATTCTCATAAGTGTGATGACAAACTTGTAAACCAATCGTCACTCAAATGACGACAGTTAGGTTTTCTGTTCCAATTCTCTCAGTATAAAAGAAAGGCTTTGAGAGACGATTGAAAAGCAGAATTCTAAGTGTGATGACGAACTCATAAACCAATCATCACTCAAATGATGACAGTTAGGTTTT